ATTATGGAGGCAGGATACACAACCATGAAGTTCTTAAGTAGCAAGACAAGGCCAGTTGTATGACAATTCCTTCTACTCTTACTTGTTCAGCAAAACTGGCACTTGTTAAAATGACTGTTCTTCCCAAGCCTAATTATGATGTCATTTACAGGTCAGCTTGTAAGCATGTGCTACAGAAGCCTGATGGTCTTTGCCATTCTGCTACCCAATTTCCTATAAATGCTCCCTTCAAAACTCATCACTGTACACTTTATCCTTCTGTAAATCGGCCTTTACATACACGTCGAAATATACATTGGTTCATGTTCATCTATAAAACACTTCTAGGTTTGTCTCCTCCGTATGAGCCTTTTGCCAGGCCGTCAATGTAAATAAGATATTGTTCTTAGTGACTTGCCTGGAAAAATAAAGGTTAGATCAATAAAAATGAAAAACATGAGTGGTAATTAAGCTACAAAAGTGCCATGAGTGGAGCCAGTCGCAGAAGGGGGCTGCTGTCGTACAATGAACCAGAACTGCACCAGCGGGTTGATTAGAGGTACTGGGTGAAACTAGCAGGGCGGGAGAGATGGGGGTGGGACGTACCTGAGCCCTGGGTGGGCATGCAGGGTGTGAGGGAGACCCGGGACTGCAACTTTGCGTTGCCTGGCAATGGGGTCGCTGTGGGAGGAGGGCCAGGCGGAGCCGCGCCTGAGACCTCCACCACGTAGGTGGCCGGGACGTAGATGGGTCGGGCCTTGCTGGACGCCCCGAGGCGCCGCACCTGCCACCAGTCGGAATTGGACTTTCGGAGCAGCACGAAGCGCTCGCCCTCCCGCATGCTGACCTGCCGGCCGTCTGCGCCGCGATATGAGTAGTCGTACTGGGCCTCCACGACCACCGTGCCGCTGGGCCTGCTACTACCACCCCCACCGCCGGCAGAGGCGGGGGCCGCCGAGCGCCGCCAGCTGCCCGAGAGCATAGCTTCCTTCTACACCCCCGCCTCCCCACCGGCTCCTCAGAAGACAGCCAGACTGTACTTGCTGGGGTCAGAAGGGTGGGTCTGTGCAGGCCGACCAGTCAACACCATCCTCTGAAACAGAAATATAGGAAGGGGCCGGTCACAGACAGACACCTACGGGGCAACTGCAGCAGACCAAAAACACAGGCAGAAAATAGCAAAAACACATTGAGACACGGGAGACAAACTAAGAGAGACACAGAGAAAGACAAAGACATGCAGAGACACACAGAGATGCACAGGGAGACACACAGAGAGACACAGAGACGCAGAAAGAGAAACACACAGAGAAACAGAGGGAGATGCAGAGAGAGAGACAGACAGATACACAGAGAGAGAAACACACAGAGATGCAGAGAGAGAGAGAGACACACACAGAGATACAGAGGGAGATGCAGAGACAGACAGAGAGAGACACACATAGACAGAGAGAAACACACAGAGAAACAGAGGGAGAGAGAGACACACACACAGAGATACAGAGGGAGATGCAGAGAGAGACAGAGACGCAGACAGATGTAGAGGGACAGAGAGAGGAGGCCATGATGTGTGTGCTGGCTACACCAACCCATAAAGAGGTTGAAAGAAAAGTATCAGGAGAGCAGAGACTGCAATGCGCTGGTGTTTCACTTCACCACACTTTATGCAACCTGCCTGGAGGCATCACAGACGAAGGAGCTTAATTAAAATTTCTATCGCCACTGTATGTTCCGTTCAGAATTAATTTATAAACACTGTCCAATCCAGTAATTCTGCCACATGCAATAAAACAGCCCATGCGCTGGAGCCTCTGCGTGAAGCAGGCCTTCTCATACAAGCAGGTGACATTTCTGGTTGCAGGCCAGTTCACTAATACTCACAAGCCCCTAGAAAATACACAGAAACCCCCCCCCCACCCCACCCCGCTCCAAAAACCCTGGGCTGAACTCCCCAACTCCACTTACATAACACACAGCTGGTGCCGGGAGAGCGTGAGGGGGGGGCAACTCGGACACACATTTACAAACGGCCGTTGTCTCCACTGGACGATTAACCCCGAAGACCCCGGCGACACGACGATGACGCCGTGGAAACGTGAAGCCAAGAAATGGATGTCGATGGTGAGGGGACTTTAGCAATCTGGAGCGCCGTATCGGGGCACAAGGAATGCATTGCCCCTCCTCGCCATGTGAGAATTACTGCAAAGCCCTCCAACTCAGCATATGGGCATCACGGCGGGTCGCTCTGTGCTCTGGGAGGTTGCTAATCCAAACCTGGCACAAACAAACTTGGGGGGGGGCAGCAATCATGGACTGAGCCCCAGAACACGTTCTCGGATCCTCGAGCGCCGATTGCGTGTCCGCGTCAGCTACGTGACGCCCTGAACCAAAACAACGAAGCCAGCTCTGTCATCCTAACATGCCGTTCTGATCCAAGACCTTCCGGAGATCTATTAAAACCCAACAACCATAAATCTGGTGAAATTGCTTGCCTGATATTCAGCCCAGCACCTTAATAGAGACGATAAGGTGCTGGCAGGGTGGTGCAGATTCGTGTGGGCCCTGGGAGGGGTCACATGGAAACAGATTTATAATGTGCAAAGATTTTGGTTTTGTGGCATTTCTGCTAGCTTGTCTGGATGGGGGAGGGGGCAAATATGAAAATCTGAAACAACTTCAATACTCATTTTTTTTTTGCCTGTTCAATTCATTCTCCAGACAGGCTTACGAGGCAGAAAACCCAAAGTGATAACAGACACAGGGAAGGTGGTTTCAGGACTGTACCCAGGGAAGGAAAATAACAGTACTGCTGGGAGAGAACTGATGGAAAGTCTGTCGATCGCGTCTGTCATTGGCTGCGATCCGGCGGCCGGGGTCAGCTGATCGGGGGAGGGCTGGCCACTGGGATGGGCAGGCTGACCGGAGAAAGTGTTAGAGAGAGCGTCACGCTCGCTCTCTGCACCACCCGTCAGAGGGGACTGTGCGGCATCAAAGGGCCCAAGCCGGCCGCCCTGCATCCCCCACGGCACCTGCAGGCAGCGGAGAAACCGACGGAAACGTCCGGCTATGTGGGCTGCGCGACATTCCCGTAAACAAAGGGGTCTTTGAGCCGTCAACGCAAAAAGGGGCCTATTTAAGTCAGCATGCATACAGGCTACACCCCACCAACAATGGCACTCTGCAGCAGGACCGAACAAGGAGCTTTAGCATTCCTCGCCTCTCAGCTGCCAGCTGACCCCTTTAACCAAAACGACATCTACATTTACACCCCTTTATAATACCTAGGTGCTTTATGAGAGCAGTTTCATTAAGGTGCCTTTCAAGGGTACAACCACATGAAAAGAAACCTTCAAGTTGCATAAACAGGTCCAGAACCAACTGAGGCCCAACTCCTACCTCTCTGACATATTTCTATGTGGAAATCAAGCTTTGAAGTCCACGGTGAGTGGGATTAAACGGAGCATACTTCCCCTTGGTTACTTCCCAATGGATAACACAGGAACCATTCTGATTGGCTAACCTGGTGGGACGTGACCAATGGGAAACAGGTTGCATCAGCGATGACAATATGATAATCCTGCCAAGTGTGGGTCTCAAAGCCTCATTTGTCCAATCACTGCTTTCCTCACACTATCTCCATGACATGAAATATTTAATGGTAATGATGCACCCAGGTACATTGGGAACCTTCAGAAAATGCGTCATATGACAGATATTTGGTCAGATCCGCATCTGGGCATCCTTCTGGATGCCAAACACAGGACTGCCCCTCTTCCAAGTGCCACTTTCTTTGAGTTGAGGAAACAGGAAAAGCTTTACAAAGATTAACTAAACAAAAGGAGTATTTCTATCTCTGTTTCTGGATCAAATGCCAGTAGGAGTCCAGTTGTTGTACCAATGAGGAAGCTGCTTAACCTAATTTACATAATGGAAATAACTTTGAAGTAGTAACCAAAAAATATTAATAGTATTAATATTAATAAATCACTTGGCCACGGCTACAGACACCAGGTGATAAAATTACAGACAACACCCTCCCTCCCCCCCACCTGCCAGATTGCACCCACGTCGCACCAGCAAGTGAGCGCACCTATCCCAGATCAGCTGGTGTTGACAATGGGCAGCAGGGAGCGACTGGGGACTGGAGCTTGATGTGACCATTGTCTTCCAGCAGACAGACGGTCTTTCTCCGCCAAACACGTCGCTACAGCACGGCCCCCATCAGGTCGCTGTTTATTCCCAGCGCACGAGATCTGTCCGCAGATTCGCATTTGCATAGATTACAGTGCAGTGTTGCCCTGCTTTCTGTGTGTGTGTGTGTGTGTGTGTGTGTGTGTGCGCCTGTGTGAAAATGGATGATAAGATGGATTTGTCTCAGGGACTAAATCACAGTGGCTTTTCCTCCCCCCTGCCCCCTTCCACCTTCCCTGAAAGCCCAGACGAGATGCCCTTTGGACCGTGACACCCCAGGGAGACGGATACGAGAGCACCTGCACATGGACGACAGGCCCATAGCGCTGAAACTTTGAGTTGTGGGTGGAGCCACGCTTCAGCAAACACGCTGTGTCAGTTTTGGATGCAACGGCCACATGTACATCCGTCAGAGACACTGAGATGATGGTAGTGAAACCGGCCAGCTCTTCCTTGCCTTAACACACAATACCCCTTACGATTCAGGATAAACCGACATAGCCCCTCTATGATTCAGCCCCCCCCCCACCGGAGCAGTCAGCTGTGCCCCAGGCTTCATCAGCCTGCCTCGACCAGCCGCTGGTCTCTGTTCCGAACGGTACAGCCACTCAGCCTAATGCCAGCTATCAGATGAAGCCCCACAGTCCAACGACGCCTTTTACCCCAAACCTATTTATTGGTTTTACATTGCTTACTGTTTATTGTTTTGTGTTATTCATGGTTCTGTTAATTATTTTTGTCTCCATAATGTCTGGTGCTACTCTGGCATTCTAGAATGTGCTGTCAGTCTGTGGGATGCTTGTGAGTAGCTCATTGTACAAAGCACATGAGATAAACTTGAATTCAATAAACAAATCTGTTTTTCATACTTATATATTATCCATTATGAATGTTTCGGAAATTACCTTCAGCTGTGTGCTTCGACATTTGTGAAACATTTTAATAATTGTCAAATATAAAAAAGGTGAATCGGCTGAGGAAAAATTGGTACATATCTGTGAGAACAATGTGTCTTGGTAGTCAGACTGTCACCGTACTGCTAAACACCTAGAGGAAACCATTTCCTGTAGACCTCCCTTTGATTTCCTGTTATCTCGTACATCTAACCTGCTACATCTTGTGCTAGTAGTACTTTTTATTCACTAAATCACAATCGAACACTGATAAGACCATTATACTGAACAAAACAACTCTTTTTTTTAATAACAGCATAAATTAAAAATATGAAGTCCTAGGAACAGCAAATTGGAAAATCAAAATGGCCGCTTTTCAAATGCTGTGGTGAAGTGTAAAATGTACTCTTACATTCATTTTGCACATGTGAATGTATAAACACCCACACAAACATTTCCTTAAGGTGTAAGCTAAAGCAGGGCCATTCTACAAAGCATATACTTACAATTCTTGTAAGGAAGTATTTGTATCGTACAATTTTATGGCATTTAAAATTTTGTATGTAGCCTATATGTCTTAATTACAAATACAATGTAACACGCTTAAAAGTATTTTTACTCAGCCTTCTTAGGTGTATAAAAAAGGTAAACAAAGAGATTTAGCCAGTGATTGCTAAAAAAAAAAAAAAAGTGCAAATAATATACTCACTGAAGGAAAAAATAATCTGCAGGAAAACAAATCTGTTTTGTTCCAGTTCTCAGATATGAGGGAGATTAGTATGGAGGGAGGGAGAGAGAGAGAGAGAGAGAGAGAAGAGTAAAGGAGACTAAACAGAGTGAGGGAATTTTGGGCCTGTTTTCTGGGGCTCAGCTACCAGCCATCCACCAGGAGGGCAAAGAAGACATCAGACTATATAAACATACTTCAGCACTTGTAAACACATTAACCCACAGCTGTGAAAAGTGTGCCAGAGAGGTTACAAGTTACTGTGACTCAAACCAAAATTCC